ATCATTATAATCATTTTACATACAAGAAGCATACAAGAAGACTACAGCAGTGAATTTCCCTGTTTCTAGCTTTTCCCCCAAACAAACAGCAAATGGAAGCACAGGTGTCTCAGGAGTGCGTTTGTTTCATTTTTGCTCATTTCCTGACCAGTGATTTGTTGTTAAGACCATTAAAAGCTTGATTTTTGCCATTTTGGGCTTGGCCCATTTTTTTGCCCAGGAGTGTATGTTATGGTCATGTGACCTATGCATGATCAAGCGCAACTTACATGGCCACGCCCCCTACAACAAGTGCTTACAATAAACACAATGAATTGTGCGCCACATAAGTGGAGTTTATAGAGTCACGAGCATGAGGACATGATGAAGACATGCCCATACCTGTGATTTATACAGAGTTGTTATGTTTTAGTGGAGAGCTGGCTGGTGGGTGGGGAGAATTATGGAGGAAAAAATTTGTACAGCAGGGGAGAAAAAAAATTTAACCGTGTGGCACAATGAGCTTTTTGGAGCTTTTTCAAATCCACTTTAGATGAAATTGGTCATTTTATTTCTCCAGGCCTCCTACCTGAGCGGTGGTCTTCTTGTGCTTCTCAGCAATGGCCTTGATCTTTGGTTCCTCCAACAATGATGGGTCATCTGGTTTAGCCCTGATGATTAAAAAAATAAGCAATATACCTTCATTGGATACACGCCGAGTTCACTTCACTACTCATTTACACACCACACACAGATGTGCAGTCGGGTGGCCAATTATAACAATTATAATTTGTGCTCTGCATTTAACCCATCCAACACCGTGAACACACAGGCTTTTTTTTTGCTGCGGCGGCCGGGGTGCAGTTGGGGGTTTGGTGCCTTGCTCACCTCAGTCGTGGTATTGGAAGAGAGGAGGTGGAAGAGAGCGCTGGTCATTCACACCCCCCACCTACAATCCCTGCCAGACCTGAGACTCGAACCCACGACCTTCGGGTTACAAGTCCGACTCTCTAACCATTAGGCCACGACTGCCCCCGATTTCAGATTTATATTCCCGATTTCAGATTTATATTCCAGAGACTCTGCCTTCAGAGCAAGGGACAAGGCGGCTTTAAGAACAGCAAGGGCCGAACTGTCCCGAGCCATCAGAGAGGCAAAACGCGCACATGCCAAGAAAATCCACGGTCACTTTCAGAATAGCGGAGACACTCGGCGCATGTGGCAGGGCATCCAGGCGATCACAAACTACAAGACATCACCACCTGCTTGTGACAGTGACGCCTCCCTCCCAGATGTGCTGAATGACTTCTACGCCCGGTTTGAAGCACAGAACAATGTGACGGCAAGGAAGACCACACCTCCTACCGATGACCAGGTGATCTGTCTAACCACAGACCAAGTGAGGAACACTCTACGCAGAGTCAACCCACGGAAGTCTGCTGGACCAGACAACATCCC